AGGCACCTCCAGCCCTGCCCACAACCCAGCTGAGTTCCCTGAGGCAGCCTAATGGGGCACCATGGTCAGCCCTGACCAGGGGACCTGGTGATTTAAGAATATGGCAGAGAAATAGATACTGAGAGAGGCAAACAGAACACGAAAGGGGGGTGAGGGTGGAGGGTGCACCAAGAATATGCGGCTGCATTGTTTTCTGGTTTTGTTCCAGCCTCCTCTCCTCCTCTGAGTTCGCAGCAGCTCCATTCTCTCGCCCCTCCCTCCAGCCTCCAGGGGCAGCAGATCCTGTTAAGTGTACTCAGGGCCCCTCAGATTCAACGTTACAGCACTACCTTTCATTCACCCAGATTACTGCAGCAGCCCAAGCGTCTACGTTCTGCCCCTGATCATCTCTCCATGCTGGGTTGTTCTCCAAGTGCACCTGGAATCTCTTGCGATGCCCTTCTCCAGGCAAACACGTGTCTGCCGAGCTTGGCTTGGAAATCACCTCCTCTGGCCAAATTCCCTCTGGGTGCCTCCTCCACAGCTCTTAGCCCCTGCTGTGAATTGAAATTAGACTCTGTCTTTCTCATTTCAAGACCCAGCACATGGCACGCAGCCATCTGTGTGTGCTGAATGGATAACTGAATTGCTTTCCAGCGGAACCAAATGGAAACCCTTCGCCCAAAGGCTGTGATTAACCTTTGGCGCCACCTACTGGCCAGCTAATTGGTTGTATATGGGGCCTCCAGTTGGAAATGACTTTGAAGTTTAGGAATTTCATTTTTTCTTTATTCCCTGTGAATGGGAGAATCAGGAAAGTGAGAATTATGTGACTTCCAGTCTAGATCACCATCATTAGTGTTTCACCCTGAAAAGTTCATGGCAAAGCTTCTAGCCTTTCATGGAGTAGGAATGAAACTGTGTAACAGAAGAAAGCAATTTTTTTTTTTTGAGACACAGTCTGGCTCTGTCACCCAGGCTGGAGTGCAGTGGTACGATCTCGGCTCACTGCAACCTCTGCCTCCTGGGTTCAAGTGATTCTCTGCCTCAGCCTCCTGAATAGCTGGGATTACAGGCGCCCACCACCACGCTCTGCTAATTTTGTATTTTTGGTAGAGACGGGTTTCTCCATGTTGGCCAGGCTGGTCTTGAACTCCTGACCTCAGGTAATCTGCCCGCCTCGGCCTCCCAAAGTGCTGGGATTACAGGTATGAGCCACCGCGCCCAACAAAAGCAATTTTTTTTTTTTAAAGGAAGAATGAAGGGTTAAAAAAAAAAAAGCAAGATTTGAAGCAAGCAGTCTTAAGGTAGAGCGAGCCAGGGACTGTGGACAACCTTCCCTGCTCCTCCCTAGAACCTCCCAGGATCTCCCTTGCAACTACAGGGTGGTGGGCACAAACCGGGGGTGGGTGCAGGCTGGCTCTCCCCTCCACTGCTGCTCCTGTTCTGGTCTTGGCCAGTGCAAGAGCAGAGGCCTTGGAGAGTCCCACCCAAGGGCAACCTCTGGTTCAGCCAGTGGAAGAACAGGCCTAGCTGGTCCATCCCGTGCCCAGAGGGCTTGTTTATCCGCAGCTACCTCTTGAGGTGGGGTGGGTTAAAGCTGAAACTAGAGGAGGAATGAGCAGATGTGATGTTCCTGCCTGGTAGGGGAGCTGATCGTTCCTTTGTCTACACTGAGCCAGGGGTCACCTGGCTGTCAGGAATTGCCTATGTGGCCAACGGACCAGGTAGTAGGTACCCTGATCAGGCTACCTTGTCACGTATGGGTTGTGAGTTTCAGTGCAGACTTCCTTATAGACTTGGGCTGGACCTACGGGTCCTCTATAACCTGGTCTTGTAGTCCTCTATTACCTGGTCCTGTCAGCTTCTGCCCTCATCTCCAAACCCTGCAATAAAAGGCCCTCCCACCCCAGCACCCTGCTAGTTCACACCTCTGCCCAGCACCCTGCTAGTTCACACCTCTGCTCTCATGCTGTTCCTCTTCCAGATCAACATTATCCCTTCCAAATGCCTTTTTTCCCTGCCACCTCCAGGGAGAGGGAATGCTGGCTTCTTTGCTCCTCCTTTACTGATCTAGGGGCAAGTCTCTTCCCTTTAAGCCTTGGGGATTTTTTTTTTTTTGAGACAGGGTCTCATTCTGTCTCCCAGGCTGGAGTGCAGTGGCCGGATCTCAGCTCACTGCAAGCTCCGCCTCCCGGGTTTACGCCATTCTCCTGCCTCAGCCTCCTGAGTAGCTGGGACTACAGGCGCCCACCACCGCGCCCGGCTAGTTTTTTGTATTTTTTTAGTAGAGACGGGGTTTCACCGTGTTAGCCAGGATGGTCTCGATCTCCTGACCTCGTGATCCGCCCGTCTCGGCCTCCCAAAGTGCTGGGATTACAGGCTTGAGCCACCGCGCCCGGCTAGGGGATTTTTTTTTTTTTGAGACAGGGTCTCATTCTGTCTCCCAGGCTGGAGTGCAGTGGCCGGATCTCAGCTCACTGCAAGCTCCGCCTCCCGGGTTTACGCCATTCTCCTGCCTCAGCCTCCTGAGTAGCTGGGACTACAGGCGCCCACCACCGCGCCCGGCTAGTTTTTTGTATTTTTTTAGTAGAGACGGGGTTTCACCGTGTTAGCCAGGATGGTCTCGATCTCCTGACCTCGTGATCCGCCCGTCTCGGCCTCCCAAAGTGCTGGGATTACAGGCTTGAGCCACCGCGCCCGGCTAGGGGATTTTTTTTTTTTTGAGACAGGGTCTCATTCTGTCTCCCAGGCTGGAGTGCAGTGGCCCGATCTCGGCTCACTGCAACCTCCGCCTCTTGGGTTCAAGTGATACAGTCCTTGAGCTGCTGCACCTGGCCAAGCCTTGGTTTTGTTGTCTGTAAAATGAGGAGTAGGGATGGGACAGTTAGACCAGGTTCCATTTCTGTCTTAATGTAGTTCTAAATTCTTTCACTAGAGGACAGAACAGCTAGAGTAGAAGTGGATTATTAAGTAGAACTGAGCAAGAATGAGCTGAAACCTCCACATATTGCAAACACCCTGTACCTTCTCCAAAGTTAGAGCAGGCAAGCATTATGCAAATGTTTTATAAACTGATGTGTCCTAGCCCCAATTAATATGTTGTAGCAAATCATAATGCTAAGTTAATACTTTGAGTGGCTAATGGATGTATAATAGCCCACTAAAAAAATTTCTAAGCTACTTCGTAATGTAGTATTCCAAGCAGCACTCCGTAGCGTACAGCATGCTGCTTATATGAAAACCTTTTCAACACTTTTGTATTTCACTTAAAAATGCAGGAGAGGCTGGGCACGGTGGCTCAAGCTTGTAATCCCAATACTTTGGGAGACTGAGGCAGGCGGATCACTGGAGGTCAAGAGTTCGAGAACAGTCTGACCAACATGGAGAAATCCCATCTCTACTAAAAATAGAAAATTAGCCGGGTGTGGTGGTGCGTGCCTGTAATCCCAGCTACTCGGGAGGCTGAGGCAGGAGAATCGCTTGAATCCAGGAGGCAGAGGTTGCGGTGAGCCAAGATCACACCATTGTACTCCAGCCTGGGCAATAAAAGCGGAACTCCTTCTCAAAAAAAAAAAAAAAATACAGGAGAAGACCTCCCTAACATTGGATTTCAGTCAACATTTGTTACCCACATTAAAACAGCTAAGCTAATTAAATGTGACTCGTGTGTTTAGGGCTGGTGAAGAATGCTCTGCTTTACAAAGGCCAGTGGCTGACGTTCTTACTGAGTGAGAATGTGGACACTTCGTTTTTGCTTCTGTTTCCTGAGTGTTAGCCTGTTAGTGCTACTGCCCAGCAGTGGCTTCCCTGATGTCCCTCCGTTCTCACAGGGACCCTGGGCTTCCTGTCATTAGTGGTATCTCTTCTAAATTCTATTTTAAAATTCCAAAAATAAAATTATAATGTAGGCTGGGCATGGTGACTCACATCTGTAATCCCAGCACTTTGGGAGGCCAAGGTGGGTGGATCGCTTGAGTCCAGGAGTTCAAGACCACCCTGGGTGATATAGGGAAATCCCACCTTTACAAAAACTACAAAAATTAGCCAGGCAGTGGTGGCATGTGCCTGTGGTCCCAGCTACTTGGGAGGCTGAGCGGGGAGGATAGCTTGAGCCAGGGAGGCAGAGGTTGCAGTGAGCTAAGATTGTGCCATGGCACTCCAGCCTGGGTAACAGAGCAAGACTCTGTCTCAAAAAAAAAAAAAAAAAAAGAACTATAAATATTCAAAAACATTTTTATTACGTAAAAATTTCCTCTTTAAAAGCGAACAGCTGGTGAATCTCCCAGTGCTTTTTGAGGAAGGATAGCAGTGTTAGGAGGGTCAGGCTCACAGTGAATTCTCTCAGGGCTTGGTTCTATCAGCTATGATTGGGTCACTGCAATCCAGCCTGGGCGACAGAGTGAGACCCTGTCTCAAAAAAACAAAATTTTCAATCTGGTTTTTTTTTGTTTTGTTTTTGTTTTTGTTTTTTTTGAGATAGAGTTTCACTCTTGTTGCCCAAGCTGGAGAGCAATGGTACAATCTTGGCTCCCCACAACCTCTGCCTCCTGGGTTCAAGTGATTCTCCTGCCTCAGCATCCCAAGTAGCTGGGATGACAGGCATGCACCACCATGCCCGGCTAATTTTGTACTTTTAGTAGAGACAGGGTTTCTCCATGTTGGTCAGGCTGGTCTCAAAGTCCCTACCTCAGGTGATTTGACCGCCTGGGCCTCCCAAACTGCTGGGATTATAGGTGTGAGCCACCATGCCCAGCCCTGATTTTAATTTGTATTTCTTTGATTAGTAATCCTATCTTTTCATTCTTTACTGGCTAAGAGTTTAAATCCCTGCTCTGCTACCACTCTGTGTGACTTTGGAGAGACAACTTGACTTCCATGTGCCTCAATTTCCTCATCTGTGAGGTTCCTCTCTAAATAAATTGACCAGCTTCAAAGACGTATAGACTGTGACATGGTGGGACGGGCTCTAATGAAATTCCTGTACCCTTACCCACAAATCACAAAGCTTCTAGTCAGTATTTTAGTACCTCCCATTCTTGTTCAATAAATTACCACATGCTGGACATGGCCGGCTAGGGGCTGTGGCTCCAGAGATGCTTGAGGGAAGGTCAGTCACCACCTGTCCATCTGCTCCCAGCGTTCAAAATTTGGTTCACTTCTCTCTCCTGCTGCTTTCTCCTCTTCCATTCTTTTGTCCTGTGGCTGCATGAGATACACACATATATAATGTTCACTGCCGTATTAGCAGGACTCCAGAAGGAACAGAGATGAATGCAAATGTTCCACCCACTATGTCTAACCAGAGGCCAGAGTGACGTTCTAAGGGACTGAGTGTGACTCTGTTCCTCTAATGCTCAGCCCCTTCCGTGGTTCTCTGTGCCTTAGGGTCAAGTCCAAACTCCTCAGCACAGCCTGCCCAGGCCCCTCCAACACTCCCCCCTCATCTCTTGCCACCACCACCCTCCTAGGGTTCAGTCACTCCAAACCCCACTGCCCACTTCTGCACGCCCCTCCCGCCCACATTCCTCCCCACTTTTGCTCATGCTGTCCTCCGTAAGTGGATGCTCAAGGCGCAGCTCGCAAGCCAACTCTTCTGGGAGCCCAAAGGATTGGATTGTCTTTCTCTTTTCTCCCACAGCACTTTGTCATATATGCGCTATAGCCCTGTATGATGATGATTGTCACATGCACTCCAGGCAGGGACGTGGGACTCTCTTGGACATTGCCTGGGCCTGTAGTGGGCTCTCAGTAGATGTCAGTTCAGTGGATGGGTAGGCAGGGAATAAACAGTAAAGAGAGTGACATTGTTTTAGCATTCTGTGACTCCCACCACCGGTTGGTTGGATGGCTGGTTAACATTAGCTAGAAATGTTTAGGATAGTAATTTTAAACCTTAGTCCACTTACCAGTAGCCTAAGCAATATAAATGGCTACAGACCCTCATAGAGGTGTTGCCATGCACCTTGGCTCTGTCCGAAGGCCAGCAACACAGTAACAGGGAATGCAGAGACGTGGAAGGGCTGTTTCCAGAGACAGTGTGGAGTGGTGGATCCAGACACCACCTGATGCAAGGGAAACACTTGGGCCTTTTCTTGGTACCAGTGAACGGGTGCCCTGCTGGGAACATAAACACAATCTTCTGGACTTCCAAACCAAACATAACAGAGATAGGGCGGCAGAGGATGAACTTGGACAGGCCCTGGCTTCCTTAGACTTCCCCTGTGACTGTCAAATGTATTAAAATACATGATATGTTCTCCTCTTGCAGGAAGGTCAACTTGGGAAGTGGACCAGGGTCCCAGTAAGAAGCTAGGCTTCTCTGTAGATGCTGTATGGCCTAATTCCCCCAGTCCAGCAGTGCTTCTCCGGGTGCTCAGGTGCTCTTGGACTGGGCTAGAGGGCCTGCAGCAAAAACTAGAACTTAGCTGTTATTATTCCAGGCCCCATTCAGACTTCTCCTAATGACTCAACCAACTGCAGGAGAGCTGAACTGAAGGGTCTGAAATTCTGGTTGGGTTTCAAAGTTAGTGGCTAAGGGGAAAATTGAATCCAGGGGAAATGTCCCCCTTGAAAGCCCCTTAGGAAAGTAAGCTAAATGCATCAATGACACGAGTTCCCTGTAAGTCACAGACTTCCACACTCCGTATGAAGAAGCCTGGGCTCACATTCAGGCTCTGCCACTCACATGACTTGTGAGAGTTTCTCATCAAATGGGAGTAATAATGTCTACTTCCTATGATTATTCTAGAGACTAAATTTAGATAAAATACGGGGAAATATAGTACATAATAAGCACTCAAGGCCAGGAGTGGTGGCTCACGCCTGTAATCCCAACACTTTGGAGGCCAAGGGGAGTGCATTCCTTAAGCCCAGGAGTTTGAGCCCAGCCTGGGCAACATGGTAAGGCCCCTTTCCCAAAATAAATAAAATAAAAGAAGTAGGGGGCCAGGTGCAGTGGCTCACGCTTGTAATCCCAGTACTTTGGGAGGCCGAGGTGGGCAGATGACCTGAGGTCAGGAGTTTGAGACCAGCCTGGTCAACATGCTAAAACTCCATCTCTACTGAAAATACAAAAAAATTAGCCAGGTGTGGTGGCACATGCCTGTAATCCCACCTACTCAGGAGGCTGAGGCACAAGAATCGCTTGAACCCAGGAGATAGAGGTTGCGGTGGGCCAACATGGTGCCAATATACTCCAGCCTGGGCAGCAGAGCAAGACTCAGTCTCAGAAAAAAAAAAAAGAGTGGCAGAGTGAATTTTTTTTTTTTTTTTTTTTTATTGAGAGGGGGTCTCGCCGGCTGTCGCCTGCCGGCTTGGAGCTGCAGTGGCCGGATCTCATGGCTCACTGCAAGACTTTCCGCCTCCCGCTGGTTTAGCGATTCTCCTGCTTCAGGGCGCCTACGGAGCTAGGCTGGGACCTACAGGTGGCCCGCCACCCTCGCCCGGGGCATTTTTTTGCTTTTTAGTAGAGACGGGGTTTCACTGTGTTAGCCAGGATTGGCGTCGATCTCGCTTGAGCCTGCGTGATCCGCCCGTTCGGCCTCCCAAAGTGCTGGGATTTACAGGCTTGAGGGCCAGCTGCGGGTCCGCGGCGCAAGAATTTTTTTTTTTTATTGAGACAGGGTCTCAGTTTCTGATCTGCCCAGGCTGGGGGTTCAGTGGCCATGAGTTCATGACTCACTGTATCCTCAAACTGCTGGGACTTAAGCGGAAGGCTCGCTACTCTGCTTCGGTCGAGTAGCTGCGGATGACAGCTCCAACACTACCATGTCCAGTGAATTTTATTGGTATTTATTTGTTTTTGGAGACGGAGTTCGCCTCTGGTCGGCCCAGGCCGGGGCAGTGCAGTGGGCCGGGATGCTCAGGTCACTGCAAGCTCCGCCTCCCGGGTTCGCTGCTTATTCTCCTGCCTCAGCCTGCCCCGAGTAGCTGGGTACTACAGCCGCCGGGCACCGACGCCGAGCTGCAGTTTATGTATTTTTAGTAGGGAGACGGGGATTCACCGTGTGGTAGCCAGGGCTGTCTCGATTTCCTGACCTTGTGGATCCGTCATCTCCCGCCCCTCCAAGTTGCTGGGGATTACAAGGTTTTGAGCCCACCCGCGCCCGGCCCCTCCAGTTAATTTTAAGTAAATGTTTGTGTAGAGGCAGGCTGCATTGGTTTCACGGCCATAATCCAGCATTTGCAAGGGCGAGCAGGATGGATTGCCGCTTGAGTCCAGGAGTTCGAGAATGAGCCTGGGCGACATGAAAACGCTATCTCGGGCTGGGCGTGGTGGCTCAACGCCTGTAGATCCCAGATTTACAGGGTATTCACTGTGATGTTGGGGAGGCCGAGGAGGGACTGGGTCCACCTGAGGTCAGGGAGTTTCGAGGTCAGTCTGGACCAACATGGAAACCCGTGTCTCTACTGATATAGCAAAAAATTAGGCCAGGTTGTGGCGGTGGTATGCCTGTCAATCCCAGAACCTGGGAGCAGAGTGCAGAAGAACCTTGCTCGAACCTCTATGCGAGCGCAATGGTTGCCCAGTGAGACGAGATCGCCACCATTGACTCGCAGCCTGGCAACAAGAGCAAATTTATACATCTCAAAACAAAAACAAAAACAAAAACCCATCTCTACAAAACAATATAAAGACTTAGCAGGTGTGGCAATGTGCACCTGTAAGTCCAGTAGTTTGGAGCGCTCCCGGAGGAGGGAGAATTTTTTTTTTTTTTTTTTTTTTTTTTTTTTTTTTTTTTTTTTTTTTTGCTTGAACCTGGTGAGGCTGGAGGTTGCTAGGGTGAGCCTTGGAGTTCATTATACTATGGGAGGTGGAGTGTCTGTCCTCCTGGTGCCCCTGTCGTCTGCGCCGTTGCAATGAGCTGAGCTGCCACCATTGCACTCATGTCCTGGGTTGGAAGATTGGAGGATTCTCGTCCAAAAAAAAAAAAAAAAAGTTAATGTGGGTTCATTTAGCTTAGATGATCTCATCAGCAGTCTGTCAACTAAGCTCTAGAAGCACAATGATTGTGACCATGAATGGAGTTGGGGTTTTTAAAAAAAACACCTCCATCGTATAAGAGAGTCATAATAGTTATACAGTATTTTTTGGCGGTACATGTTGAATATATATTTTTGGAGACGGAGTCTTATTCACTCTGTTGTCCCTGGCTGGAGTGCATTGGCCACCGATCTGCCCTCGAGCTGCACCTCGTCTGACCTCCTGGAGCCAAGCAATTCTCCTGCCAGCCTCTCGGAGTAATGAGGATTACAGCACTGTCGGGGCCACACGCCCGAGCTAATCTGTTTTGTATTTTATTAGTGAGGGACGAGGTTTTCACCATGTTGGGCCAGGCGGTTCAAACTCTGACCTCAAGTGATCGCGCCCACCTCAGCCTCTCAAAGTGCTGCGGATTACAGCGTGTGGAGGCCACTGCGCCTGCCCTACATGTGACTATTTTGCACTGCATGTAGTAATGTGCCCAATAATCAAACAGGGGTAATTGGGAATATCCATCCCTCAAACATTTTTCTTTGCTGCTGAGAACATGGGTGAGTTCCTGTTTATGAACTATTTTGAGAATACTAATCCTAGTAAACTGATTTCTCTTCTGGTATCTTGAAACTACGTAGACGACTTATCGCCTTTCTAACTGTATTTTTTTTTTTTTTTTAGGAGACAGATGTCTCGCGTCTGTCGCCAGGCTAGAGTTTTTTGTGCCCTCGCCTGCTGGTGGGTGTTAGTTCGCTGTTTTCCGTTCGATCTGCCAGAATTATCCTGTGTCCGCCGTTTCTTTGCCACCGGTGTGTTGTCTCCTTTGCTCTTTTTATGTCCTTCTCTCTCTAGATGTGGGTTTACTACAGTGTGCCCTGCCAGTCTCTATGCTCTTGGGTAATTTTTTTCTGTATTTTTTGTGTATGAGACGGGGCTTTCAGTGTGTTTTCGGTGCAGGACTTTTTGGTCTCGATCTCTACTGATGCCTCTTTATGATTTCGCCACCTCGGCTTCCAAACCGTGCTGGGATTACAGGCAGAGCCACTGCCCCTTGCCTCTTGATACTGTTATTTTATACCCAGTTATACCAACTTCAACTCGATCTTTCCCTTCTCTTTATCCCTTTCCAGCCTGCTGATAACCAACATTTGCTACTCTCTACCGCTCTTTTTTGTAGCTCTGCATGTGAGTGAGAACATGTGGTATTTGTTTCTGTACCTGGGTTTTATTCCTCACTTAGTGATAAATGACCTGCACATGCCATCATGTGGCTGCAAATGACAAGATTCGTTACCTTGGCTTGGGGCGCAGTGGGACCTCACATCTGTGGAATCCCAGCCACTCTTTGGGGAGGCCAAGGCGGGCCAGCATGTATGGAGGGTCAGGAAATCAAGACCCGTTACTGGCGAACAAATTTTTGTTTTTTTTTTTTTTTCTTTTTTTTTTTTTTTTGTTGTTTATCTTCTTTGTTTGTTTTTTCTACTAATTATTTATTCAAAAAAATTTATATAATAATAATAATGTCTGGTGGGTTGGCTCTCTTTTGATGGCCTCCTGCTATCCCAGCCTTTGGTTCGAGGCTCTCGAGACGGGCGGGTATCACAATGTGTCGAGGAGATCAGCTTTTGTAGACTCTAATCTTTCTGGCTTAAACCTTGGTGGTGTTATTCTTCTTTTTCCCCCCATTTTTTATGTATTATTAATTCAATGAATCGTTTTTCCGTTGCCGAGTTTGTGTTTCTGTGTTGTGTGTGTTTGTGTTTATTTTCGGCTCTTCCCACCCCGCGACCCCCCTCTCCCCTGTGGTCTCCCCCGTGGTGGTGTGTCTCCTTCCCCTCCCTCCCCTGTCCCCTTCTGTTGGCTTGAGTCCTCCAGCCCTACTCCTGTTGATGGCTGAGGCAGGAGAATGGACATCAACCCCGGGAGGTAGGGGCTTGCGTGAGCTGAGATCGGGCCACTTGCACGTCCAGCCTGGTGCGACGGAGCAAGATCCACCGTCTCAAAAAAAAAAAAAAAAAAAAAAAAGAAAAGAAAGAAAAAGGGGCTGTTTGATAAAGTTCACAAAGGAGGTTTTCGAGAGTTCGTGAAATAGGTGCTGCCTGCGCGCTGCAATGTGGCTTCATTTAATGTCTTACATCGT